ATTTGGAAACTCCTATTATTATTCTGGTATTTAAATCTGGCTGTCGTTCTGATGTTCAAAACTATCGAAGTGTCCATCAAACACCTTCTCTCGCCAAAATCTTTGAAAAAATTATTGCCATGAAAATTACTGACTTTTGCATGGCCTTTTACCCGATCGCTCTTGTGAAACATGTCATATGTTGTTTTTCAATCTACTTACCTCTTTTCTTAATCATCATTTATCTGTGGTCGTTATTTATTTTGATTTTGTTAAACCCTTCGATAAAGTGCCACCTAGAAGACTTAGTTAAATTAGAAGTGTGCCGAGGCGCCAGACTATCTTGCCTTTCCCTACCTGTTCCTCATTCTTGAACTTACTGGTTGTTTAACTGAATGGAATGAACACAACTCGACGCGACGCGCTTGGCATGAGTGAGATTGTCAGGTCGTTTGACTTTTGATTATTAATTCTTCCATAACTCTGGTCTTATCCTGATTTTTATAGTCTGGGATAGACGGTTCTGTCTTTGACGCTCGCCACAGTGGTGACCCCTTGACGTTCACGCTTATACCTTTAATTAGTCAACTTCCAATTTGCATACCGCCCGTTTGCCTTCTTTCTTTCTACAATCATGTCCTCTACGAATTCCAATGATCCCACTTCTTCTCTCAGTGGACTTGTTTCTTCCCTCCCAGACTTTTGGCAACATGCGCCAGAGCTTTATTTTTTCCGTATTGAGGCGACTTTTCACTCCGCCAAGATAACACGTGAAACCGACAAGTTTTATAAGCTGGTCGAGGCCCTCCCTCCCACCATTCTTTCTCAAGTGCAAACGCTTCTGAGAGATCCCCCGACTGATGCTCCTTACACCAAGTTAAAGGTTGAACTTCTTCGCCTGACATCAGTCTCCGATCGGCAGCGTTATCACGCACTAGTAAAAGAGGAGGCCTTAGGTGATCGCAAGCCGTCGGAACTCTTGCGTCGCATGCGTTCTCTGGGTGGGGACATGAAAATCGACGACAAGTTCTTTAAAGAGATGTTCTTAGAACGTCTGCCGACGTCTGTACAAACAGTCTTGGCCTCTGGCTCCGACTACCTAGAAATATCAAAGTTAGCGGAGATGGCTGACCGTATGATGGAGGTTGAGCGTTTGTCATCCCCGACGATTGCTCAGGTGTCCCAGCCTCTCAACGTGTCCACCTCTGACCTTGCTGAACTAAAGACGCAGATTGCCCAGTTGTCAGCGACTGTTGCCGCTTTGCAGCTGCGCCGATCCCATCGCCCCTCTCGACGTCCGTTCGGTCGTGACCGTCGTCGTTCCCGCTCTCGCCCCAGGACCGCCAACCTATGTTGGTATCATGTCAACTATGGCGATAAGGCGCAGCGCTGTGTCCCACCCTGCTCCTTCAAGTCCACGCAGGGAAACTCCTCGGCCGGAGAGTAAACGCGGCCGAGCTCTCTGGCAACTCTACGGGTCGCACATTTTACGTGAGTGATAACACGAGTGGCAGGCATTTTTTAGTCGACACTGGAGCTCAGATTAGTGTTATCCCTCCCACGCCAGCCGACCGACGTTGCCCAAACCATGGTCTTTACCTTCAGGCCGTAAACTCATCCCCCATTACAACCTTTGGATTTCGCTCCCTCTCCCTGGATATTGGCCTCCGGCGATTATTCCCCTGGATATTTGTGGTTGCTGATGTTCCCACTGCTATCCTTGGTGCTGATTTTTTGGCCGCCTTTGACCTTCTGGTGGATTGCAGACAACTTCGCCTCCATGATCGCGCAACTACCCTCACTGTCAAAGGATTTCCTCCATCCTCAGTTTCTAAACAGCTCTCCGTCCTTGACCCAAATCCTGACTGTCAATTTCGTAGACTTTTAGCAAAATATCCTACCCTTACTAAGCCCCATTTTTCTGACACCTCATTTCCCCATGATATTCTTCATCATATAAAAACGACTGGTCCTCCCGTTTTTTCTCGTCCCCGCCGTCTTGCTCCCGCGCGTCTTGCGGCTGCTAAAGCAGAATTTGACCACATGCTGCAACTAGGGATTATTCGACAGTCTGACAGTCCCTGGGCATCTCCTTTGCACATGGTTCCTAAACCAAATACGGATGATTGGCGTCCTTGTGGCGATTATAGAGCCCTAAACAATATCACTATGCCCGATCGGTACCCCGTTCCTCATCTTCAGTACTTTGCCGGAGCCCTTTTCGGCAAAACCATTTTCGCGAAGATCGATTTGGTGCGGGCTTTTCATCAAATTCCGATTGTGGATGAGGACATTCCCAAAACGGCAGTGACGACTCCTTTTGGCTTGTTCGAGATCCTTCGTATGCCATTTGGTCTCCGAAATGCCTCACAAACTTTCCAACGTTTCATTGACCGTGTTTTACGCGGCCTTCCATTTGTTTATGCGTATATTGATGATGTTCTCGCCGCCAGTCGAGATGTGGAGGAACATCTCCATCACCTTACCCTGCTTTTCGACCGATTTCAGCAGTTTGGTGTCACCCTGCATCCTTCCAAATGTGTCCTAGGAGCCACTTCTCTTGAGTTCTTAGGTCACCTGATAGACTCAAACGGTATCCGGCCTCTTCCCTCAAAAGTTGCCGCCATTCGGGACTTTCCACCCCCTACCTCGAAGCGTCAGTTGCAACGGTTTCTTGGTATGGTGAACTTTTACGCCGGTTTCTCCCGAACTGTGCCGATACCATCCTACCTCTGACCGATCTCCTCTCAGGTCCCAAACGCACCTTTGAACTTACATCAGCCGCACTTACGTCATTTGAGCAGGTAAAAGACCTTCTGGCTGACGCCACCCTCCTGACTCACTTTCACGCTGATGCACCCATATCTTTGATGGTCGATTCCTCCAATGTTGCTGTTGGCGCGGTTCTTCAACAAAGTCTGCCGGATTCTACCGTGCCTTTGGCTTTCTTCTCCAAGAAACTATCCAAAGCCGAAACCCGCTACAGCACATTCGGACGTGAACTTCTCGCCGCTTATCTTGCCGTAAAGCACTTACGGCATTTACTTGAAGGTCGAGAGTTCACAATTTTCACTGATCATAAGCCACTCACGTTTGCGATGCATTCCCACTCTGACAAGCTAAGCCCCCGGGAGATCCGTCACCTGGACTACATTTCGCAGTTCACTTCAGACATCCGCCATATTGACGGGTCAAGGAATGAGGTGGCTGACGCACTGTCCAGGCCCTCTATTGCTCATCTTCAGCTTTCACCCGGGATAGACCTCGCTGAGATGGCCGCTGAACAACGCCGTGTCGGTCCACCCTGTTATGAGGATGTTTCCGGACTCCAACTCCAGGAACTACCACTGACGACTGGCAACGGCACCAGAATTGACGTGTGTGACGGATTGAGAGTATGTGGAGGGGAGTAGAGGCATCCGACTACTATGTTTTCCTGGGCATGAGATTTTATTGTGGCAAAACACGCTTCTCCAGCAAAGGTTTCAGTTGGGACATCAATACCACTTTGCTCAATGCTAGTTTTGATGTAGATAAGACAACCTCCGCCTCGTTTATTAACACGGTCCTGTCGATAGAAATTATAATTTGGGACATATAGTGAAGCATTCGATATAAGCTCATTTGCCCATGTATCTGTAATGCAAATTACATCGGAGTTATCTATTTCAACAAAAGTTCTAAGTTGGGATATTTTGTTGACAATCGATGTGGAATTTATAAGAGCTATCTTTAGGATGTTGGATATGGAAGAGGTGGGCTGTGGTGAAAAAAAGGATTTCTGGGGCTACTTTGAGTGAGTGATGGACTAAATGGAGGTAGATGTGTGATTCTTGGAGGATATGGTGATGCGTATGGCGTAGTGTGAGTGCATGGGCTAGTGTGTATGGACTGAGGGTACATATGGGGAGGTGCGTTAACTAGGTGGTAATTGTATCTAAATGGTGTTTCAGTTGGGGAGGTGTAAAAGCCAAAGTAATTTGTAGGGTTGTAATTAGGTGGTAAGGAGTTTGGAATGATAGAGTGGTTTGGATTATTACTATGCCATGCAGGTGGATTTTGGGGAGTCGAGATGCCGTTATAGAAGCTTGTTTGTTTTTGGTTAGAGTTTGGTGGGCTTCTATTTGTTAGTTCAACATACCTAGGGCGTTTTGGTTGTGTTGGTGTGCTTAGTAAGGCCTTTTAGTTTATGTGTCTTGTTTGGCAGTCGTTTTCTCGTACTGATTGATCGGTCTTGGGGGATGTAGTAAAACTTATACTGCTATCTAAGGGTGTCACATGACTCGGTCCGGGGTCTGCATCATAGTTCTGTTCTGGTTGAACGTTGTTATTTTGTTGTGCCTCCCTCGTTTGTTTCTGACCAGCAGTCCTAAATACTTTTGCAGTTGCGCGTTTTTTATCATGAGAACTAGTAGTGGCTAAAGGTTCAGTTGAGGGACCGGAGTGCTGATTATCGTATTTGTAGCTGGTTTCTTTTACCCGAAGTTTACGTCTTTGCATAGGTGTCAAATCTGGACCTATAAACGAGTTTAGGTTCCGCATATTGATATTTACTTCGGGATTTTGTAGGACAATCTCAGCTTCCGCTTGTGAGTAGAAGGTTACTAAGAGGGGTTTGTTTTTGCTTCTGCAGTGAAGTCTTTTAATGTTAGCTACTCTGATATTAAAGCCACAAGGATGTATAAAATTTTGAATTGATGGCGTCGGATTAACGGTGTGGGGTATATTACGGATAATTTAATTGTTCTCTGCCATGCTGATGGACGTCTATCGCGACGAACGCCCCGGGATACGCATCGCCTACAGAACGGACGGTCGTCTGCTGAATCAAATGCGCATGAGCTTCCAATCGCGCGTATCTACAACCACCGTCCACGAACTTCTCTTCGCCGACGACTGCGCCCTGAACACCACCTCGGAAGAGGAGATGCAACGCAGCATGCACATATTCACAGGCGCCTGCGAGAACTTTCGGCTGGTCAGTAACACGCAGAAGACGGTGGTGATGCACCAACCGCCACCCAACTAAGCCGCAGCCCCCAACGCGCCGCCGCCGCCTCAAATAAGCGTGAACGGAACCCAACTGCAAGTGGTGGCGAACTTCCCGTACCTGGGCAGTGCCCTCTCGCGCAACATCAAGATCGATGACAAAGTCGTCAACAGGATCTCGAAAGCCAGTCAAGCCTTCGGTCGTCTCCAAAGCACAGTTTGGAATCGTCATGGTCTCCAACTGAGCACGAAGCTGAAAATGTACAAGGCCGTCATCCTGCCGACGCTACTGTGTGGAGCGGAGACTTGGACGGTGTACACGAGGCAGGCACGCCGTCTAAACCACTTCCACCTCAGCTATCTTCGTCGCATCCTGAGGCTAAACTGGCAGGATCGCATCCCCGACACTGATGTGCTGGAACGTACGGGAATGCTCAGCATATACGCCATACTGAGACAAATGCAGCTGCGCTGGAGCGGCCACCTGGTGCGCATGGACGACGAGCGACTACCCAAACGACTCTTCTACGGAGACGTCGCGACGGGTTCTCGTCGTCAAGGCGGCCCAATTCGTCGATAAAATGACACCGTGAAGTCCTCCCTGAAGCGTCTGTAAATCAACCACACCAACTGGGAAGAGCTCGCACTCGATCGACCGACCTGGAGGAGGACAGTGAAGACAGGCGCTGCGATCTACGAAGCCAATCGCATAGCGGCCGCAAAGGCGAAAAGCGAAGCCCGCAAATCACAACTTCGCCCAGTAAGTTACGCCGCCGCACAACCGCTTCCAACGTGTCCTCGATGTCAACGGACATTCCGGGCTCGAATCCGAATTGTTGGACATCTTCGAACCAACTGCGCCTCTCGATCTGCACCAACCATCCTCCCCACGCCCGCCTCTGCCTACCCGCCGTCGCCAACTAACTCTGACAATTCCCCTGAACCACCACTTCCATCCTCCTCCTCCTCCTCCTCCTCCTCCTCCTCCTCCCCCACTGACCCAGCGGCGGCCGCTCAGTCGGCCGTCTCGCACATCAACCCCGACACAACAACCGACACCACCCCCACCTCTCCCGATTCCAGTGAAGAGGAAAAGGACTACACCTGCCCTCACTGCGATCGCACCTTTACCTCACGCATCGGCATGGTCGGTCACTTGCGAATCCATCGCACAGAGACTGGCGAGCCAGTGTCTGGAGCACCAACCTACACCCACCGCACTCGCCTCCACTGCCCACACTGCCCTCGCACCTTCACTCCCCGCATGGGTCTATTCGGCCACATGCGCATCCACCAGAGCGGAATTGACCGCAACCTCGACACACCCAACCCGCCGAGCCATACTCCCAATTCATCTCCTTTAGCACCCACCAACCACTCTCCAACCGACATCGTCGCCACCGACTCTACCACCCCTCACTCCTCCCCGTCCTACTCCTCCTCCACCTCCTCCTCCTTCACTGCCTCAACGACGGCCACTCCGGCGTCTGTAGCGCACTACTTCACCACAGCCGCACCTGACACAACAACAGGCAAAACCCCTGCAACCTCCATCATCAGAGGTGAGGGCCAGGACTACATCTGCCCTCATTGCGATCGCACCTTCACATCCCGCATCGGCCTGGTCGATCACTTGCGAATCCATCGCACAGAGACTGGCGAACCAGTGCCTGGCGCACCAACCTATACTCACCAAGCCCGTCTCAACTGCCCACACTGCCCTCGCACCTACAGGCATCGCATGAGACTCTTTGGCCGCATGCTCATCCACGAGAGCGGAATCGACCACAATTCCTACACAGCCACGACACCCATACCATCCACCACGCCCTGACCCATCCTCGCACCACCGTCACACGCGCCGTCTACCACCACCACCAACAACACCTCTGCTTCCTCTACAGCTGACACCGACACCGCCGACCTCTCATGCCCACATTGTCCACGCACATTCACGTCACGCATCGGCCTGGTCGGTCACTTGCGAATCCATCGCACGGAGACTGGCGAACCAGTGCCTGGAGCACCAACCTACACCCACCGCACTCGTCTCCACTAACCACACTGCCCTCGCACCTTCACTCCCCGCATGGGTCTATTCGGCCACATGCGCATCCACGACGACCTGCGGTAGACAACCGCCGGTCACACCACACATTCCCTCACTCCCTACCTCCCAAAACCATCACCCAACCAGACATCAACCCCCACACACCTCATGCACTCAACTGCCGCCTCCCACGCAAGTGGGAAGTGTGCATCTCGACTCGGTCCCCATGCGACTTCGGCTGCACGGGTGACTTGTGTACGAGACTATCCCGACAAGTTAGGTTTCGTGGATACGAATTTTGCTGATTGAGGCCCGCTCTCGGTTCACGCAGTTCGTCACGTTGTGTGTGTGTGTGTGTTGTGTAGTGGCGGACTGGTGGGCTGGGGACGGGCTGCATCGGCACCTACCACGGCCCTCTCACGCAGGTGAGAGACACGCCGTTCATCCCACGTTGTGTGAAATCCAGGTGTTTGTGTGTGTATGGGGGGCCATGTCGTGCTGTGGCGCGCGCAGTCATGGTCTCTCGACCATGACAGCCACCGCGCCCACTCCCCACTCCAGCCTGCTGACCGGCTCGGACAGCGGCTGGGATGTGGGCGTGGGAAGGGAGAGTGAGGTCGACGACTCAGCGCACTTTCTCCTCACTATAAACAATGTGACGCGCTTGAAGCTATCACGGTGCGCTAAAAGCCGTGGCTTGGAAGGTTGCCAACTGACGGGGTACCTTGGACCTCTTGCTTCACTGGAGGCGGTCTGAGAGTCCGGCTGCAATGGCTCCTATTTAATGTGGCATTTATGGCACTCTCACCACAGTGTGGGATCCCAGCCAGGCGTTGGCGGCGCGTCCAGGTGCGGCGTCGGCCGTGCCAGCCTCGAAATCTCAGTTGTGTTGATTGAAATCCTGGTTATTTGTTGTGTGGACCAGGGGGTGTGGTGGAACGCCAAGGTGAGGATCCGTCCGAGCCATCCACCTGCGGCCTCCCTCGTCTCCGGTCTTCTTGAATCTGTCTTGACAACGGGCCCAGGCGGTGGAGGAGGAGAGAGTGTAGGTAGATGCTACGCAAGTCTACTGGCACTATAAAACCCTGCGTAAGTCACCGTCCCTGCTCCCACCGCTGCTGCAGCTGTGGGGCACACGGTGGACATCGTCGAAATCAACGGTCGAATTGTCCTGTAGCACGCCGTGCGAGCACTAACAACATATGGTGGTAGTGGTGATGGTAGAATGATCATGGCAGCGGCAGCAACTACTGCTTCTTCTTCTTCTTTGCCTGACCTCGGATCAGTCGTGAATACCCGCTGAACTTAAGCATATCACTAAGCGGAGGAAAAGAATCTAACCAGGATTCCCCTAGTAACGGCGAGTGAAGAGGGAATAGCCCAGCACCGAAGCCTGCGGTAGGTTTACTGCTAGGCAATGTGGTGTTTGGGTCGACTCGCGGGATTGCCACTCTACTCGAAGTCCAGCACTGAGTATGGTTCCCTGGATTTGGCCCAGAGAGGGTGAAAGGCCCGTGCGAGTGGAGGTTCAGACATGTGAGGCAATTTACCAGGTCGACCTTCGAGTCGGGTTGTTTGGGAATGCAGCCCAAAGTGGGTGGTAAACTCCATCCAAGGCTAAATACAAGCACGAGTCCGATAGCGAACAAGTACCGTGAGGGAAAGTTGAAAAGTACTTTGAAGAGAGAGTAAACAGTACGTGAAACCGCATAGAGGTAAACGGGTGGCGTCAAGCTGCAAGCCTAGAGGATTCAGTTGATCGGTGTGTATGCGCGCCTGGCGTGTCTGTCGGACGGACAATCCACTGCGAAATGGTGGGCCTGCCTTTCTTCTTGGGGGGCAGGATCAGTGTTCCGGGTGGTTGCCGGTGCCGGCTGTTCTGTCTGTCTGCGCAGTGTGGATGGACCGGTCAATGCACTTCCTCTATTTGGTGAGCACCACGACTGGTGGAACTGCCAGTCTGCCATAGTTAAGTCGGATTTGGTCGGTGGCTCTCCTCGTCGTCTTGGTGTGGGGGTCATCGGCTGAGTTTCGATCACAGGCGAACTCAGTGAGCGGCGCGTGTAGGCATTCGCTTGCACACGTGTTATCGAGCACTGGTCGTCAACGGGTCTGCCTGTCGGTTGTTGTACAGTCGCCGGTGGGTGTCCTGGTGGGCTATGGTGGTATGAATAACTGTGCAGGGCACCAGAGTTGTCGGTCTCTAGTTTCCGTCTCGTGCGCACACTGTATGTGGGCGTGGGGTGTTGCTGTAGGCTGCCAATTGCTGGGTCTGATCGTCGTGTTGCCTGCGCAAAGTGGGCCTGGCGGTGGTCTGGTGTTGGGTGGTCTGCATTTGTGTGTGATGCCTCCTGTGCGAGCCGGCGTGGACCAAACAGTCTGTGGTGTTGTGGTAGACGAGCTACCCGACCCGTCTTGAAACACGGACCAAGGAGTTTATCATGCACGCGAGTCAATGGGTCCACCGAAACCCAAAGGCGCAGTGAAAGTAAAGTCTCGACTTGTTCTCGGGATGTGGTGAGATGCCACTGTTTCTCGCACCTCCCCTGGCGCGCGCAGCTTGCTGTGTGTGTGTTTGTGGGTCTGCAGCACCAGGCAAAAGAGCAGTGGCCGCATCACCGGCCCGTCCCATGATGTGGTCGTTGGAAAGGCGTGGATCGTTTTGTGTGGTCTGCGTTGGAACCGGCGCGTCATCGGGGCGGAGCAAGAGCGTGCACGATAAGACCCGAAAGATGGTGAACTATGCTTGCGTAGGTTGAAGCCAGAGGAAACTCTGGTGGAGGACCGCAGCGATTCTGACGTGCAAATCGATCGTCAAACGCGAGTATAGGGGCGAAAGACTAATCGAACCATCTAGTAGCTGGTTCCCTCCGAAGTTTCCCTCAGGATAGCTGGCACTGATTCGCATGATCAGTTTTATCCGGTAAAGCGAATGATTAGAGGTACTGGGTTCGAAACGAGCTCAACCTATTCTCAAACTTTAAATGGGTGAGATGCCCGGCTCGCTTTGTAGGAGTCGGGCGCTGAATGTGCGAGTGCCAAGTGGGCCATTTTTGGTAAGCAGAACTGGCGCTGTGGGATGAACCAAACGCTCGGTTAAGGTGCCTAACGCTGACGCTCATGAGATAACACAAAAGGTGTTGGTTAATATAGACAGCAGGACGGTGGCCATGGAAGTCGGCATCCGCTAAGGAGTGTGTAACAACTCACCTGCCGAATTGACCAGCCCTGAAAATGGATGGTGCTGGAGCGTCGGACCTATACCGGGCCGTCACCGCAAGCTGGATCGCTGGCTCTGTGTGTGTTTGGTGTGAGCAGCGTATGGCCGGTTGCGTGAACAACAATCGGTCGCTGTCTCTTGAAGTCATGATCCAGGCAAGGAGGCGGTGGCGAGTAGGAGGGTCGCCGTGGTGAGCGTGGAAGCCTCGGACGTGAGTCTGGGTGGAGCCGCCACGGGTGCAGATCTTGGTGGTAGTAGCAAATATTCAAGTGAGAACATTGAAGGCCGAGGTGGAGAAGGGTTCCATGGGAACAGCAGTTGGCCATGGGTCAGGCGGTCCTAAGCGATCCGGTGTCTCGGTACAGAGACGTGGGGTGCCTTGTTTGTGTGTGTGTGTGTGTGTGTGTGTTTGTGGGGTGTAGGGGTGTCAGCGGTGGGTCCACGTGATGGTCGTAGTGGTCGCTCACTTGCTTGCAGGTGAGACTACGCCTAGCGTCCATTTGCTGGCACCTAACTCTCACCTGTG